ATTAAAAAAAACTTTCAAAATATAATAATAATAATAATAATAATAATAATAATAATAATAATAATAATAATAATATTTAAATTCATTATTGAAAACAAAACAGATTTTTAAAAAGTCAATAAAAAGGTGGTCGGAAAGAGCATTTGAAAGCTAAGCTTTCATAATATAAAAGTTTTCAAATACTATTTTAATTTTAAAAATTACAACAAAAAGAAAAAGAAAAATTTGATGTTGTACAACTACTTTGGAAAGTAATTGCACCTCTGGTTAGCAATACTCAAACATATTTTTATATCATCAAATTTATAAATCTTTCTCTAATTTCTCTACACAATTTCATTTTTAAAAATAATCACACGTTACATTATATTATAATATAAGAACAAAATACTAACATAATAATAAATAAATATAAAAAATAAAAAAGTACAAAAAGCTACCCGTGACTTGAAAACTTTCAAACCATCTAGGATTTTAAAAAATTAAAAAAAGAAAAATCTACATAGACTTGCAAGTGCTAAACTTGCAGGGATAAAAACAATCAAGGGTGCAGTTAGACCTAAGACTTTCTATAGGCCCTAACTTTAATTCCATCTATGTAACTGACATGATACAAATTTTGTTATTAGAAAGATATTGATTTTGGTTGTACTAACTAAGTTCTCCACCATCTCCACCATATTCAAGCATGCTTGGGGTAAAGTGTGTGCATTGATTTTTGTTCATACATTCTAACCTAAAAAATTCATACATTCTAACCTAAAAAATTATTTTCATTTTAACATAAGTATATAAAGGCTTATGGTATCATGAAAACACATCTCTAGGAGAAAAGTCAGAACCATTCAGCCTAATTACATCTGTAAAAGTTAAACGGATCAAGTCAAATTTTTGTAAAAAACATGCGATGATATTTTCATAATTATTGTCAACTTCACTTTACAAACTTGAACACTTAAATATGCAATTTGTAACAACTAAATATGAAAACATAAATAAATTTTAAAAAATCAATGAAAAAGCTAAATTTTAAATCTAAACCGTAAATATTAGACCCTAAACAGTAAAAAAATGAATCTCTAAACCAAATAAAACTAAAAATTTATTCATAAACTCTAAAATCCAAACCCTAAGTGCAATGCATTTTCGCATTTTTACAAATGCAATCTTTTAATAATAACAATGTGTTTGGTTGAGAGGAGAGAATTAAGAGAAGAATGAATTGTAATTCAGTGGGAAAAGAATAATATGTAAAAAGTAGAATTCAAATTATATTAGCTAATAGCCGTTTAATTTGTTTTGAGCAGTTTTTGAATTTTAGTATTTTGAAGTTTACAAAAAATTGATTAACCAAACACTGTACTAATTGATTTTTAATCAAGTCAAACAACTAATAATGATCAAATAAATCAAAATTAATTGATAAAATAACTATTTTACAAAACAAGACTAATACGTTTCATTAGCAAACGAAATTGTATACCACATGAAATGGATGAGAACAATGCGTATACATTACAAAACCAATAAACATACCATATATAAAGACCCCCATGGTTGAACTCTTTCATGCTTATTTACATAGATTTGTTTGCAGAGAAATTTAAAAATTAATTTTAAAAAATCAAGACTAATGGAACAGTACTTCATCAAGCTGTTTGTCATCGTTTTCCTCTTACATCCGCTCCTTTATAATGCAGTTGGTATTTTCTTTTCAAAAATTCTTGATTATAAACTTAATTTGCATATGCTGTCTATATTACATTACGTTATCTATATTCGAAAGAATTGGGATCATCGTGTACATACAAAGTTTAATTTGATTGTAAGATATTTTAACTGTAGTAATTATTAATTAAGACTAATATATATAGTTAATCACAATTTTGGTCCTTCAATTGTTTTTCAACGTCAATGCAGTACCTAGTTTTCAATTCCAACCAATTTGATCTTTGAATTGACGAATTGTTTAAAATTTTATAAATTAAACCATTTCAGGGACCAAGATGGTGATTTTCACAGTTTAAAATTTTTGTCAATTTAGTCCCTAAAGGGTTAATTGACAAAATTTTAAACAATTAATGAATTAAATTGGTTAAAATTGAAAACTAAGGACTATATTGACAGTTGAAAAATAATTGAGGGACCACAATGTTGATTATATATATATATATATATATATATATATATATAAACGGAATAATATTTATCGTTTTATTATGTAATTGACAAAATTATATTCTTTTGTTCATAGTAATTGTTTATAGATATATATACTTGGGGATGTTAGTTGGTCTGACCATGTTGGTTTTGGGTCAACCTTTTCGGGTTATCATAGTTATGTTGTTGAACTTTTTTATTTTTAAAGAAACTCTTTTGTATATTTTGTTTCTCGTTACTTGTGAAACAAATAGTAGCTTTGAGTAACTCGAGCTATTGAACTAGTCCAATAAATTTCGAGTTAGCTCATTCAGTTCTTCGAACTTACATTATTGATTTTGGGCTAAAAATGTTTATCATAATTCTTAAATTTTTTATATTATTAGAGCAGCCCATTGATTTTAGGATAAAATTAATATCCTTATATGTTTGCAGAAATTGAGCCCATGAAGAATGTAATACTGTACGTTGGATGTGCTAAGAAATATATGAGCAAGTCGTTTGAGGGTTAGTTCATGCTTTCAATGGGATGGCAAAAAATGTAATAAAACGTGCAAGAAGGATGGTCAAGGAGGAGGAAATTGTTACTTTTACAAGTGTTGTTGTGCGGCTTGAAACCCCTACAATTTTATTTATTTATTTTTTAATATTTTGTTCTCAACGGAATAAAATTTTTTGTCTTGCTTTATTATGCAATTAATCGATCCTATTTAACAATAATAATAAATAATAATCTATCTATCTACAATTTCAATCTCATCATCATCATCATCAATCATCAATCATCATCATCATCAATCATCAATCATCAATCATCATCATCATCAATTCTAACAAGAGTGAATAATGTTAGACCCTTAACTGGAATAAAAAAAAATGCCGGTACTAATTGTTTCTTAAAATGAATGGTTCATATTATTTTGATTTTAGTATTTTTAATGATTTTCCTTATTTACCCTTTATTATATTATTTTCTTTTCTTAAATAACCTTAAAATCCGTTAGTATATTTCGCAATTATCGTCAACTTCAAATTTTAAAAAAATGCCATGACATTTTCGCAATTATCGTCAACTTCACTTTGCAAACTTGAACACTTAAATATGCAATTTATAACAACTGAATATGCAAACATAAATAAAATTTAAAAAATCAATGAAAAAACTAAATGTTAAATCTAAACCGTAAATATTAGACCCTAAACAGTAACAAAAAATGAATCTCTAAACCAAATAAAACTAAAACTTATTCATAAACTCTAAAATCCAAACTCTAAGTGCAATGCACTTTCGTATTTTTGCAAGTGCAATCTTTTAATAATAACATTGCTTTTGGTTGAGAGGAAAGAATTAAGGGAGGAATGAATTGTAATTCGGTGGGAAAAGATTAAGGTGTAAATAAAGCTGAATTCAAATTACATTGTTTGATAGAAAGGAATAGAATTATTGAGAATGAGAAGGGGAGAAGTGATATAAAGATTAAAATGCCCTTGTATGTGTAGTAATAATGATAATAATCTAGGGCAAAAATGACTTTTTTTTTCCCTTTCCTTGAATTACAATTCATATGGGGCGAGTTATGAATCCCAATTCCACAAAAGGATGAAATTGTAATTCCTTCAAACCAAACAATGTAATTTCTGCAGCAAAAAAAAAATCGCAATTGAATTGCAACTACACTCTACCAAACACCTCATAAATATGTAATATGTTAATACTTAATGTGCAAACCTGTAAAATTATGAGAAATGCAGATTTTAGTGTTCAAGTTTGCATTAGTAAAGTTGGTAATAATTACAAAAATGTCACCGCATTATTATTATTATTATTATTATTATTATTATTATTATTATTATTATTATTATTATTATTATTAAAACTTGATCAGACTCATTCAATTTTTTCATGTGTAAGGCTGAAATTGATTATTAATTTTATCTTAAAAACTTGTTCTCATATGATCCAATTATATACTACTTTTTGGCCTTTATACTACTTACTAGTATTTTATATGCGCGATGCGCAAAAAAATATGCCCAATATTATAATTACATATTAAAATCTTAGTTATATTAATTTTTTAAAAATAATAGTGTGTGTGTGTGTTACATGGTAATAATAATGTGGAAAGATAACAGAAGTTATAACGGCAGGGATATTTTTGTCCAAAAAATTATGTAGTACAGCTTTTATAGCACAAGTACAAAAAAAATTAACGAAAAACATGGACATAAACCAGGGGTATAACCTGGATTGAAGTTATTATGTTTTTAGATTATGCAATTTACATGCAAATACTAGCTATAATTGAAATTCTTAGCAATTATAACTTTTTTCTTGCTTAATGCCCTCCTTACAATTAGGGGTATTAGCGAACAAAGCTATCGGTAAACTCGTGTTCGTGTTCGAGTTCGGTAAGCGTTTGTTTATTAAGGTAAACGAACATAAACAAACAAAATTTAGAGCTCAGTTTATAAACGAACAAAGGTTTGCTAAGAGATCGTGAACAAGTTCGTTTGTGTTCGTTTAATAATGTTCGCGAACAAGCTCGTTTGTGTTCGTTTAATATTTGTTTGTATTCTCTTTGTAGTTTCGTTACTTGTTTGGTTATTTTCCGTGAACATATATTATTTCTTTTTTCACGAACGAATTATGATCATGATGAACATGTTCATATGTTTGGTTATTCAGCATTCACGAACGTGTTTATAAACGTGAACAAACATGTTCACAAATATTAATGAATATTGTGAACGTGCTTATTAACAAACATGTTCCTAAACGTTAACAAACACTAATGAACGCTTAATAAACGAACACAAACACAAACATTCTAAAAACCTTAACAAACAAACAGAAACAACCTCTACTAATTTATATCCGATTTGTTAACAGCTCACATCCCATAAAGGTATATGCAAGTCCATTAAAATAGAATTATTCCAGATTAAAGAAAAAACCACCCAAATGAGAAGTTCAGGCAAATCTTCTAGAGATCCATTGATTCGATTTCCTGATCATTATTATTAGTTTGAGCCCCGACCTTGGGCTCCATTCTGCTGCCTCGGAGCCTCCTGTTCTCTTCTTTTTTTAGAGCTTCGTGCTTTTGAGCTACTACAATAGATAACATCTTTGTGAGCTCCCTTAACTTTTGATCCAATTTAGATACATGACCATTTTGAGGTTCTTTCGAGCAAATTCTTACTAAATCATCAAAGGTCATATCCCCATTTTCAATCAATTCTGATTTCCAAAACTTATCTCCACTAATTTCCATTTTTGTTGTCAAATACTTTTCAATAATAGAAACAAGAGCTATTATTGCAATTGGATGACAATAATATACGACGTGAAAATATTCTTTGCCCTTCAACAATCTCCTTGACAGAAATTCAACCCAACTCAAAATAACCATAAATAACCACAGTCCAGTTTCAAACAGTAGCTCCATTGAAGGCCATGCGTTTTTCCTTTTGTACACCTTAACATCTACAACTATCCAATATGACAGTACAAGCGAATTCACACATATGTGAACTGCGATTAACGCTGTAGTTAATGAACTAACTTCCGTGGAATATAGAACATTACTACCGAACAACATTATCGTCCAACAAGCACGAGAAATTCCAAGGCCATCAATAATATTCATTTTAAAGAGTACCACTGCGGTTGCTCCGATGATGACAATAATCACTAATTGTGGAATAGCATCCCCAAAGCTTGCATAATCTGCAACAAAATAGGGGCTGGGTCTAAAATAAAATAAAAATAATGGTGATTTAATTAACTAGCAACTATTTTATGCAATGTGATAGCATTTCTCTTACCATTCTGCGTCATCGTGATGCTGCTCCCCGTAGGACCGAATCGGACTAATTTTTATTATAATAAGAAAAAGAAATGCTCAAATTAAGGGGTGAAATTAATGTAATTCCACATGCAACCATCAAAGTTTGGAATAAAATATGAACTACTTTTCACAACCATCAGATATATGGAGTTTCTGTAGAGATATATTTCAGCTAGCACTGATGGGCCACCTCGAGGGGATGAACAAATTAAAGTTGATCCCACAAAGCTCTAAACCCAAAAATGATGGATCGGAAAGGGGCGGGTTTAACTCAGAAGGATAGTAGGAAATGAATTTTGATGGTCATGGCTACTTTGATGCAGGTTAGAGTATGTGTATAAGTTTCCGCCTCTGGATGATATGATGTTGCTCAATGCAATTTGAAGATGACTAGAGATGATCGGATTGAGAAGCTTTTATATTTTTAGATTTCTCTTTCATCCATATCACTAAGCACTAATAAAATGCACTGATGTGCATGCTCTAAGCTATCCTATTGTTTGCCACGCAGCTAGCTAGTGAAGCATACAATAGTTATGCTGTGCAACCGAATACACAATGCGCATGGTGCATACGATGCAAAACGACGTCGTTTTGACTAAAAACGCGTGTCTCATTTTTTTTAAAAAAAATTAGGTTCGATTCTTGGCAATAGCATTATTGTGGATATATAGTTATGAATTTCTGGATATATAGTTATGGATTTCTAGATATATAGTTCATTCATTGTGGATATTTAGTTCATTCATTGTAGATATTTACTTCATTCATTCACTGTGGATATATAGTTATGAATTTATGGATATATAGTTATGAATTTCTGGATATATAGTTCATTCATTGTGGATATTTAGTTCATTCATTCACTGTGGATATATAGTTATGAATTTGTGGATGTGTAGTTATGAATTTATGGATATATAATTATGAATTTATGGATATATAGTTATGAATTTATGGATATATAGTTATGAATTTATGGACATATAAAAATGCTATTGCCGGGAATGAACCTGATTTCTTTTTTTAAGTGGGACGCGCGCTTTTTAACCAAAACGACGTCGTTTTGCATCGTATGCACCATGCGCATGGTGCATTCGGTTACACAACATAATTTGCGGTGAAGCATAAGAGCCTAATCCATCCAAAATTAGATAGATAGATGCTTGATCCTATAAATAACCTTCTTATCTGTTGAAGCTAGCTAGGGGAAAAAAAAACGTAAAAAAGAAGTCACATGGTGTGTTGAGATGAGTAATTATTGAGTATGGGTTCAAATGACTTTCTACCACTCTTATACTTTCATCACATACATGCCCACCCCCATAATTGACATTTTAATAACCCACAATCACTACATCGCAATATCTACTATATTAATAAGAGATAATATCATAATAGAATTATGTTTATAATAACATGAATTAAAAAAAAAAATCGTCTAATTATTTGATCAAATTAATAGTTCAAAAAAAATCGTCTAATTATTAATAAGTCACAGCTTTTTTTTTTTTTTTTTTTTTTTTTTCATTCATTTAACCACGCTATTTGACTTGACAAAATAATCTAATAGATAAAGGGGTCAAATAGACCCATCTATTACTCACAAGTGTTCAATTAATCCTTTAGTCTAAACTAAAAATTAATTTGATACATAAATTTCATAAAATTTTTGCATTTACCAATTTACTAGGTTCTATCCGATTTTGATGATATGGCATCTAGTTAAGCTAATGTGGTTGGCAATTTTTTTTTTTTTTTTTTTTTTGACTTGTCATCTAGCAAAATAATATTTTCCGGCCTTGACGTGACTTCAATCCATCGAAAAGTGAATTTTTCACTTTTCGGTGACTCCAATCCCACCTGTAGGTGAAATTATAATATAATTCCACCTTCTAGTGGAATTACTTAAACCCATCGAAAAGTGAATTTTTCACTTTTCGATGGTGTGGCGTCACTCCAATTCTACTTGAGGTGACTACTTAAATCCATCGAAAAGTGAAAAAGAAAAGTGAATTTTCACTTTTCAATGGTGTGGTGTCACTCCAATTCTACTTGAGGTGACTAAAACAAAACCTTCCATCACAAATGCATCATTCTCATTTTGTTCATCTTTTTAAGGTTTCGGACAGTACAACTCAGAGAATGTCACGAGCAATCCAATCGATTCTGTTACAATGTAGTATATGTTCACATTTACTTTCTCAAGTTAATGAAGCACAAAGAGTCAATACCATCCCCACTAGGACGTACTCGAACTCATGACCTCCCATTTGGGAGAGTCACTTCATGCCGCTAGCCCACAAGCATGGCCGGTTTTTGGATTTTTGTGGTCCCATTCATATAAATGAATGAGACCCCAACAAAAGTATAAGCGCAATCTTTAAAACCAAATCACAAGAATCCTACTAACCTACTATCTCCAAAGTCCAAACAAACAGAAAAATTATATATATATATATATATATATATATATATATATATATATATATATATATATATATCTTGAAACTACCTGGCTAGTGGCTACCTGTTGGGCTGCCGCTATCGTTTGGAATGCAAGTACAACAATCTGTTAGGGGGAAGAATCAATTTCTCAAGCGGTATTCGTGGTGAACTAGTGAATGGTACAAGTTTCAAATTATCTCTGCAGATTCAAGGCTTGAGACATCATCAGCGCTGTTGGAGAAACAAAACGGTTTTGTCATGTGGCATGCTCAATTAATTAGGATCTAATTATTAGGAGAGAGAAGTGATTTGGGGAAAAAATTGATGAGTTTCAAGATTGATCGTAATTTTATTTTATTTTTCTTAAATAGCTAGGTTAAAAATAAATATTGGCCCTCAAGTCCATAATACTACCTGAGTTAATATATCTTACAATCAAATTAAACTTTGTATGTAAATGATGAACCCAATTCTTTCCAATACATATAATATAATTTAATATAGACCGCATATGCATATTAATTAAATTTATTAATCAAGAATTTTTGAAAAGAAAATACCAACTGCAGTATAAAGGAGCGGATGTAAGAGGAAAATAATGACAAACAACTTAATGATGTGTTCCATTAGTCTTGATTTTTTTAATTAATTTTTTAATTTCTCTTCAAACACATCTATGTATAAGAATGAAAGAGTTCAAACATGGGGCATCTCCAAGTTTCAGATCCTCGGATTCACATGAGTTTGAGGATCAGAGTCCGATCCCCTCAACACCGTACCACTCACGATGTGAGTCTCATTGTGCGTGCCCTCCAACTCCATCCCCATACTCCGACTTCGTCCCCGCAAATTGTGCCGTGGAAACGTGTTCATCATGCTTTGTGAACACGTTCCAAAATGGCGTAATTTTTACGAAAAAAAAATAATAGTTAATGTGTTGTTAACGGCGTTTTAGCATTCTATGTTCAGATTATGAATTTACATTTATTAAATTATGAATTTTCTATTATGAGATTATGAATTTACAGTTATGTAATTATGAATTTTCTGTAAATTCATAATCTCATAACAGAAAATTCATAATCTCATAACAAAAAATTTATAATTTCATAACAGAAAATTCATAATCTTGTAAAAGAAAATTCATAATTTCATGACTGCACATTCATAAATCCATGCCTGCACATTCATAATTTATGAGTGTTGAAGAAGCTTGCGCGAAGAGGAAGTGAAACCGCGAAATGTGAAAATAAAGAAGAAAATTCGCACTGTAATTATTAAAATAATAATAATAATAATAATAATAATAATAATAATAATAATAATAACGGTGCCACTTACGGGCACCGTTACCGTTTGGGGCTGTGTTCACCATGGATGGTGAACATGGTTCCATGGCATAACAATTGCCATTAAGGGGATTGTTCACAATTTTTTTGGAAAAAAAATGCCAACTTGAAAGAGAGAGGGGGAGGAGAGAGAAGGAGTGGGGTGCTCCGGCAAAGACCAAGTTTTTTACAGAATTTGTGGGTCCCTCCAAGAGAGATAAGGAAGTTTGTGGGTCAGAATTTTTTCAGCTTTGTTTTTTTCTTTTCTTTTCTTTTTTCACACATTTTTCTCTCTCCTCTCTCCTATTTGGCACCTAAAAACTTATCTATTGAGGATGCCCTTAGAGTATGTATACTAGTAGTTATTTCAGAGTTTTTTTTGTGTAAGTAAATGTGTTACAAGTGCAAGTAACTGGTGCACCTTTGCAATTTAAAAGTGCAAGTAAAATCATTTACAAGTGCACCTATTTTCACTTACTAGTGCAAGTAATTTATCTTGTTAACATTCGTTCACCTTAGGTGCACCTAGTCATAACGTTAGGTGCATCTAGTTATAACGTTAGGTGCACTTAGTATTGATACTCAATGAAAATTTTACTTGCACATGTAATACATTTTACACGCACTTGTAATACATTTTACTTGCATTGAGGTACACTATATGAAACTGCTACTTGCACTTGTAAATTGTAATACATTTTACTTGTACTTGTAATACATTTTACTTGCATTTTGATGTCCAATTATTTATAAAAATGTCACCGCATTTTTTCTAAATCAGTGTTTGAAGGCGAATTCTAATTGCGATGGAGTATGGACCTAAATACTCCTAATCATTTCCTTTAGATTACGATTTTCCTTTTTGTCACACCATTTTGTTGTGGTGTGCCTAACATTGTGTATTGCGCACAAATGCCTTTAGATTCGATGAATTTTTTAAATGGGCCAGGAATTTGCCCAACTTCTAATGTTTTCCCCATAATACTCAAAGAACGACATATACAAATTAAAGAAATCAATGAGTAAATTAAGAATAATAAATAATTAACAGAATATTCCGTTACTAAAGTTTATACTAACGGAATGCGGGATATTTAAGGGAAGAAAATAATATAATAGAAGGTGATACTGCTAATTCTACGTAAGCAATATAAAATAAACCCGAGACCAATTAAAGCAAGTAAATAAATTTATTGATCACGGTAAAGGCCCTAAGTACTATCTACTTGGTTGCTCTGAGTACCGACTGGCTGCGGTCGGGATTCTCTAACAACAACCTATCGATCGTCCAAAAGTCCTCTACACTGTAGCTACTGTAGTTAAATATGTGGCAGACAGTCAGACACCCAGCAATTATATATATATATATATATATATATATATATATATATTAGTGTATAGTTAACTATAAATCTATAATTAGTGTATTAGTATTTTTTTTTTGTCTTTAGTTTTGGTTTACATATATAAAT